AAAAGTAGACAGGAGCTCCCATCCCCAACCAAGAAGATAGAAAAAGTAGACAGGAGCTCCCACCCCAACCAAGAAAATAGAGAAGTAGTCAGGAGCTCCTACACCAACCAAGAAGCTATCTCCAACTGACAACTGCTCCAAAGGAAAATTAGTTTCTCCAAGGGAGTCTCATTGGGTACACAAACCACACTTAAGGGCAGGCCCCATGTACAGCAGCAGATGGCCAACACAAAATAAACACAAAGGTATTCTTAGAGATTTTTTTGTCTCATATTGCTTTGTTTGGGTATTTTTTAACCATATTGGTCTTTTGCTTGTATAATATGGTTTCCAATTTTGAGTTTTTATGAGTTTTGTGTGTGAGTGTGTCTCTCTGTGTGTGTATACTTCTCCTGCTCTTTCTTGGTTTCTTTTCCTCCTGTTTTGTTTGTTTGTTCATTTGTTTTATTCTTGTTTGTCTTTTTATTTGCTTGTTTTCTTAGAGAGAGAAAAGGGAGGCATGGAGTTGGGAGGGTGGGGTGGTGGGGAGGATCTGGGAGATGAGGGGAAACCATGATCAGAATATATTGTATGAAAATAACTTTATTCTCAATTTAGACTATGAAATAAGATACTCCTGTTGCAACAACAACAACAACAAAATTCTGTAGATTAACATGTCTCTTTAAACTAACAAATCGTAGGATTCCCCTACAATGGTCTGACAGTGCAACCAGAAAAAGGTATCTATAAATGCACTACAACAACCCTATGACAAGCAATTCCTATCACAACTCTACATGCTGAATATGTAACGACTGGGTCAGCAAGGCCAATTAATAGACAAGTGCCAGCTGCCTTTGTCTTTTTCAGCTTCAGACATTTTTAGCCCTCTTATTGAACATACAGTAATAAAATGTTACCACTTAGCAAGAAATCTCCTTTGTCTGCAAAGAAAGTGAATATTCATAAACTCTAAGACTAGAGACAGCTCTCAAAGGATACCTACTTTCCCCACAAGGTTGTACCTGTCACATCTGCTCCAGTCCTTAAAACCTGAAAACTCTACATAGCTCCTTCACTGGGAGCTTTTACATCTAAGTTCAAAGATGACAATTCAAATGCCTTCATATGCCAACATATGACACCTAACAATCTACTACTTAGTGGGGACAAACTCGGTTACTGGAGACTCTAGACTTTTTTTCATAAACATTAAAAAAATACATCTTAGGAATTACATTAATAATAATCTAAAACCTAGGGCAGGCAACGTGCATTTTAACTTCTCAGAAAAGCAGAGTTCAAGGGTGGCCATCTGGTCACATGACCAAAGGTCCTGCCGTCAAAAATTTTTTTTTTTTTTTTTACAGAATGCTTAAAGTGATATATTTCAAGACAGGGGGGTCTGTTTGACCTTGTACCATCTCTCATGTCAACAAGCGTTTAGACTGGGGCGGGTGGGGTGGGGGGAGAGACTCGAGTGCCCACTAGACGCAGCCTCCCCTCGCTCCAACTACCTGGAGGAGATGAGAGTGAACTAGGCTATGAAGGTAGGACAACGAGGACACCCAAAAACGGCGATCGAGACCCGGGACCGGAGAAATGGGGGCTACCTCTCCACACCACCTGGAGACGGCAGGCCCAGCCCGAGGCCTGCGGCCGATCACCACCCGCGACCGCCCATTCCCGCGGCGGCCCCCGAGCCCGGAGCCCGGAGCCCGGAGCCCGCTGGCGGGGAACCTCCCAGGTGCGAGGCGCATGCGCACGGCTCCGCTCCGTGCGCCGCGGGCCATGGCCCAACCTTGGCCAGGGACTGCGCCAGGCCCCACGCCGCCTCACGCCGAGCAGGGCCTCTCAGCGCCTCCTTCGCGGGCGCCGCCCACAAGCTCTGGACGCTCGCATCACCTGGGTCGACCTTCGGGTTCGCACCTCCGGACGCGGGAGGCCTGGAACCCCCTCTTCAAACCACGGCGCCACCGGCGTCCTCAGAACTTGCTTCAGTTTAAGCTCAGCGCCTTCCTGGTTCCAGCGCCAGGCAGCGTCAGCCGAGCTGCCGAGTGCGTCGATGCAGGCCGCTAGGCCACTAGGAATGCCGAGCGAGTGGATTGTCATGCCGCCAATTTTTTGTTTAATGTTTGTTTCGCGTGTTTGCATAATTGGATTTTCTTGTTTCCCCAAAAGCAATAAAGGTGGGACTATGGGGTGTTACTGCTTTAGTAATCGCCGTTATCGTCACAGATAATCAGTAAACATCTACATCGTGGGAAGTTATGTTTAAGACATCGCGCTGAGCAAAATTGGTTAGTTCCTGTTGAGCGAGGTGGAAATTCGCCCAACAATAATAAATCATGGGAGTGTGTCTGCGTAGAGTCGTGTGTGATTAAATTGTAATGATTTATTTGCAAAACTACATTAAAAACCTTTTTTTTTTTCTGCCATGAAGGTGAAGGCATTCACGGATTGGACACAATTTAGTTCTTTTTATTAAAGTAGCCGTTGGATAGAGGGAAGAAATCTGCCCGATTCGAGAAGTTTCTTCTAGAAGAGAAATCAAATGTGTAAATTTATCAAAAACTTCAACAACAGAAATTAAAGACACGCAGCATTTTCTGTAGCTCATTTCATATTTTCCTTGTATGAAAATTGTTTTTCACTATTTAGTATAAGGAAACAAAGCTAAGGAGATATATAGAATATTAGCGGGAATTCAAGGCGACTGTTGTTAGCTAGATACCAAGGTACAGATTTCCACAGCATTTGAAATGCAAATCACCTCCAATGTAGATCTTTTCCTGGGAAGTAGCTGTACCTTAACTAGCCAGTTCTGAGGGACCATTTTAAAATGTAACTGCAACATTGCATGCTTTTTATAAATAATTCAAGAGCTGGGGGAACTACTGGGATCCTGTTTTGTTGTTGTTTTGTTTTGTTTTGTTTTGTTGTCTTTGAGCCTGTATATCTGTCCATAGGCTGTTAGCTGAGCTTTAACCTCAGTAATTTTTCTTCTCAAAACTGGTTTTTGAAATGTCTTATCTCAGGAAAAGATTTGCTGTTTAGTGAAACCACATCATACTTGATAGTGTTTATTAATATGATTTCAAAACTTTGAACTTCTTAAAACTGAAACTCCCTAAAAGAGAAACTATTAGGGATGTGGAAAGGGCAGGAGGCAGGATAGAAGAGGCTAATAGAAGAGGCATATTATGTAATACATGAAAAATTCAGAATGAAAGCTATCTGTACAATTATACACTAATAAAAATTTAAATTAAACATCTTTTACACAAGTAGGGCTCCATAGCCATACTCTGGGGATTTATCATTGCTTCATCTACCATCCCTAAAGTTAAAATGAGTCAAGAAGATGAAATAAAAGGGAAATCTGTTGGATCAAGTTACACAACAGTCATGTCTGAGCCTCCTCTGATTACCTTGAAAGTGGTCATCTTTCCCTCTAGCTCGGAAGATGGCATGTGAGTTTGGGTTGAAGTCATGTGCTTAAAAGGATAAAGAAGTATCTAGAGGGTCTCCTGATGCCTTATCAGGCTTTTAGCAGCCGTTATTTGGGAGGTGTTTGTGAATACATATTTCATGATTCAGTTTGAGAGCTACTGGAACACCATATCAGCTTAGCAGGATCCCATTACTGAGCATACTGCTAAATAATCTTTTTACACAGTTTCACAAAAGACTAAAATTTTGGGATTAGTCTACTCTCTTTTCGGAATTACAGTGTTACAGGTAGTCGACCAATGCTCAATATGACATGGTTCCTAAATTCCTATGACTTAGAAAGTATTAAGTTTTTTAGTTTTGTAGAATAATAAAAGCAAGTGTTGGTGGACTCATTAATACCTAAATGCTATTGCTGTTAATAGTGTAAAGGTAAGCTTTTGTCCTAAAAGCAGAAAAGAAAATGTTTTCAGAAGGAAAGATAAGGTCAGAGAAAAAGGAAAGCAACATTTCTAATCAACGTTATTTTCATCTCCCTTAAATGTGCAGTGTAGTCTGAGGAGTTACATAACGTCTTAAATTACACGTACTTGAGAAACCCTTACAGCCACATTACAATTGTGCTCTCTTTAAAAATGGTTCAGGTTGTTTTGATGGAACTTCTCAAATTATTTGCTAAGTTTGTTGTTCTAGCCAAATAAATAGAAGATATACATATTAATGGTCTGTAATTGCTTTCATTTTACTGGATCCAAGATGACGAAAACATTATCTTTTAACATCAGACAAACCTCATTAATATTCAGCATACTGAAAATGCCCCCAGACCCGCACTTAAAGAGGTATATTTGTTTACACACTCAAGTAAATGTAACTTTCCATATGTAAATATTCTTTTGTGCGCATAAGCAAGTATTTGCATAGCTAAGCGAGCCCTGGCTTACAGGACACAGACGTGTTCCCCTATATAACAAATAGTTTTCATAAAATGAGCCAAAAATATAATTTTAAGTTATAAATCAGAGAGAACGAAAGTTGTTTTTTTCCCCTCCGAAGAGCAAGTCTTTCTCCACAGTCCACGGTGAATAAAAATTAGAAGAGCGACAAATAATGTTGGTAATTTTTTCCGCAGAACTCAAAAAGAGATAGTCCTTTGTTTTTCAAATTAAGAAATGCTTCCCAGGATGCTAAATAATTGAGGACAGGGTGCAGGGAGTTGTAAGGAAAAAGAGTAAGAATTCTGAGCCCTCAGACAGGAAACGAAATGGAAGTACGCCTGACCCGGCTCTAAGAAAACACCTTAAAACCGGATCTGGCAGGGGACAACTGTTCAGGAAACAAGTTAAATCGACCGACCCCTTGCAGCGGGAAATGTCTTCACAAGAGTCAGCTCTGACTCCAAGGGGCGAGTAGTAGGGTGAATTACAGGGGCCGGCACTCGGTGAGGCTGGCTGCCGGTCGGAAAGATCCTAAAAGGAGGTGAAGGAGTCCCAGGAGCGGTAGAGAAGCCCCACTCGCTGCAGGCACGTGAAGCCAGGATGCCGGGTTGTGCAGCTGCGGCGGCCTCAAGGAGGAAGGGGTGTGGGGCCGGAATGCTGGAGTGGTTGCTGGGCCTATTAAACGTAGATCGCCCAATGCCGGGCCGGAGACCAGGGGTCATCAATGTGGGGTCCAGCAGTTGGGGTGCCCACCCAGAGCGAGGCTGTAGGGTCGGGTACTCTCCGAAGATACCCACTGACTCGGATGGCAGTGCACTTGTCAGTTTCCTCTTGGCCCCGCCTCCGAGAAGTCTATCCAGATCCCCAGTGTTTTACTAAGTCGTGACACCAACGCAAAATCCACGCTTAATTAAATTAATTAGGGATTCTTGTCAATCCTGGATTAATGGCCAAGAGCATCGGCGGCCGAGGCTATCAGAAAACCCGACCGCCGAGGACCTGCCTCCTCTCCCCGCCCCCTTTGGTCCCCTGCTTGCCCTCCCACTCCAACCGGGTGGACTCCTGCCTGGATCCTCCATCCTCAATATTCACATTCATATTCACATTCATATTCATATATTCTCATTCTCTCTCTCTCTCTCTCTCTCTCTCTCTCTCTCTCTCTCTCTCTCTCTCTCTCTCCTCCCCACCCCAGGTAGTGGCGCTCCTGCTACCCGCGAAGGGGTTCACTCGGAGTTGCGAGGGGAGGTAATTTACTCAGAACAAGGGGCCGCCTTTAGGAAGTATAAATAGTGAGACTTCAAGAGCTGCGTCGCTATCAGATCTGAACTCTCCGCAGGAAGAATTGTCAAAGATCTTAACATTGAACACGCGCGCTCCGGCAGGGAAGCATCAGTTCCCATTTCCCTCTGGCGGCCCCCGCCCCTTCCCTCCTCCCCCCTGTCCCCCCTCTCTCCCCTCTCTCCTCCTCCTCCTCCTTCTCCTCCTCCTCTTACTTCTTTTTCTCCTTCTACTTCTCCTCTTCTTTCTTCTCCTCTTTTTCTTCTTCTTCCTCCTCCTCCCTCTCCTCCCCCACCCCCTGCCCCATTGATGTGTTATTATTGGGGGGGCTGGAGCAGTAAAAAAAGAAGGAGGAAAAAAAGAGCGGGGCTCGGCAGGGAGAGCTTGAGCGCGAGGCTGACCGGCAGCGGCCGCGATGGAAGAACTTACGGCGTTCGTCTCCAAGTCTTTTGACCAGAAAGTGAAGGAGAAGAAGGAGGCCATCACGTACCGGGAGGTGCTGGAGAGCGGGCCGCTGCGTGGGGCCAAGGAACCGGGCTGCCTCGAGCCGGGCCGCGACGACCGCAGCAGCCC